GGGACTGACCTGCTGCCTTACCCGGGACATCCTGCATTAAGAGGCTGACTCGGAGCTCTCTGAAGGGGAAGAGTCAAGGTGTGCCCAGCACCCGAGACTGTGCCCAGGCTCTTGGTGGGGCTCTTGTCTGGATGGGGCAAGAAGTGTGCCTCTTCCAGTGGATCTTGGGTTTTCCTACATCCTAAATGCCTTGAGCAGAAGCTGTTGTGTACCAGAGAGCTCGCTCTTCATTCATTTCACAATGGAGGCTGATGCTTGAGGAATAATAGTTTGTCTCAACTGAGAATGAGTGTGTTGACCTTAAAAATATGTAACTTCTCCCATTCCTAAAACTGTTAGGGTTTTGTCTTGCCCCAGGTACTATCTCCCTGGTATGCCAGTTTAAGATGTTGACCTTGATCTTCAAACTCCCCCGAGGTGCAGCTGAAATAACGTCTTGTTCTCTGTGACCTGCCCAAGGGGACTGTGTTCATCTGGACTTGACTCACGTGGGCAGATGCATTACTGCAGCAGCTGGCTTTGGACCTTCCATAGGAGGTTGCACTTGTGAAATGCGCTTTGGGATCTGACCTTCTCACAAGTGGAAAAAATTATGCCTAACCAAGGGAAGTAGAGCGAGTAAAGTCCAGGTTGTAGAACTAACAGACTGTGAAAAGCAGGAGCAATGAGGATGGAGCATGGCAGAAGTATTCCAGTAATACTAAGGATTGGGAATCTGCTGTGGGAGGCAGCAAGTGCATCCACAGAAAGAGACAGCTTACAGTTGGAATAAGTTGGGGTGGTAGAGTAGGAAGAAAAGGTTGATGAGGTCAAGAACAAAATGGAGCTTCCTCCCCCAGCATCTTGGTTTCCAGTTCCATATTTTATTCTGTAGTTAAACGCAGTGGGGCAATTGCCCTCCAGATTGGGTAGAAGTAGCTTTCCTGTTCTTGCACCTCTGTTAGTGCAAGGTACGCGAGATGGGCACCTTCTGTCTGGTGTGCTGGTACTCTTCATCCTCCTTCCTCTGCCTTAGTGGACCTGTCTTGGAAAGTTTCATTCTTTTGCTAGTAATTGGGAGCTGCACGGCTCGGTTGTCCCTGTGCAGCAGTTACTTTTGTGCTGCAGGAATGCATAAGGATGTTTGGGAATACCCAGAAAGCCAGCAGCGAGCTGCAGCGTAACGTACCAGTGAGAGGTAATTGGGGACCTGACTGTGTCTCAGTGCTTGGTCAGATAGGTTTGGCGTTGGGGTTTTTTCCCCACAGGACCTCACTGCTTTTGTGGTATTGTGGCATCTGTGGCCACTTGTCTTCCTGTGCCGTAGTCCACTGCCCTCTGACTTTTGCAGATCAAGTTGGAGAGTCGTGCTGCCAGCTGAGAGCTGTTGTGAATCCTTGGCTTTGTGGTTTGGGCTCAAAGTAGGACACAAAATAGGCCCCGGCGCACACACTCAGCAGTTCTGCTCTCCAGGGGCGGTGAGAAAACATTAGCCTTTGTGGTCCCACTGCTGTCATTAATCCTCTGAGGATTCCCGGGGCTCAGAGGGCAGAATAGAAAAAGGAGCAGCAGGATGAACTCAGTTTTGCGTAGCTGTGAATTTATTATTGGCGTTGGAAGGAACGCTGCCGGCTGTGTGCAATAGCATAGCTGCTCGCTAGAGGGCAGTATGACACACGGCAAAGTGCTGTGACGGGAGAGCTTTCGTGCAGATTTTGTGGGTGCTGGGAATGGGGGGGGGGTGTGTGTTACAAACCAGTTTGCTAGAACGTGGGAGCCGTCCAGTCGAGGTGGTTTAATAGACAGTGTGCCTAAACCCACTGTCTACAGACCCTGTCTTGTGAAATCTCTGAAGGGTGATGCTGACCACCTTGCTTCTGCATGCACCTCGTGGGAGGTAGAGGCTGCGGAATAGGTAGGACGGGGAGATAAGGAAGAGTCTCCAGAAAAAAGAAAAAAAAAAAAAAAAGGGAAATTTTGGCATATCAAAACTCCTGTAGTGGGTGGTGGGATGCAGAGTGGTGACGGTAAGGGGTGCAAAGGAGGCACGGGGCCCTGACAGAGGGGATGTAGGATGACTATGCACTGAGTGATGGGCCTTGCAGGAGAAAGAAAATGAAGGGTGGTTAGGATAAATACTGCAGAAGGCGCTGCTGCTTCTGCCTGCTCCGATATCAGAGCTTTCAGCAGAGGGCAGGACTGTTGCTTTATTCTATCGCTGTTCCATCAGCTGTCTCTTCATGCAAGGGACAGCAGCTCCCCCATAGAGCGAGGAGCGTGAAATGAGAGATAAGGAGGCCGGGTTATGCAGAAGGAAGTGAGCTTCAGCTTTGTGACCATCTTTGTGCAAGCGGGATCTCGGCAGTTGATGTTGTGCAGCGCCGTGCAGCCTCGCAGGACAGGTGCGAGCTTGGGCCCTGCTCTTCATGTTGTTTGTTTGTTTAATTTATTGTTTTATCCCTTAAGGAAAGCTGACCTTGAGTGACAAGCCGGTAAAGCTGTAGCAGGATTCTTGTTTGCTTTAGGTTTGTTGATGAGACAGAGGAAGCTGTTGAATATCCAGGTCTGAGAGAATGCAGGACAGAAGCAGCCTTTCCGTGAGGCCCTGGTTCAGGCAGGAAGCAGACATGGTTCACAGTGCTGTGATAACTGTGGTAAATACTAGATAGGTGACTGGAACCAGTAGCTGTGACTGATCTCACCTGCAGTCCCTCTGCTCTTGGCAGTACGGGATGGCAAAGCTCATCCCACCTTTCACTTTTCACAGCTATGACCTCCAGGGCCTTCCTTGAGTGCTGTTGGTGTCACAGAGGATGGGAGGACTGCAGCACTTCTGAGAAAGATGGAGGCTCTTTATCCTTTTCACAGCTGCTCCCTAAGTTAAGTGGCCCTGAAATTGCTCTGGCCTTGCAGAAGGGATCAGGTGAGGGAGAGAAAACCCCTCCCTGCAGCCTCCTGTGCTCCCCTGGCCTTTCTCTATACGTACCTAGGCCTCTGGGTCTGTTCCCAAGCTGCTCACAAGAAGAGCCCAGAGAACAAAACCAGACCCAGCAGTGCCTGGCGTTTTGCTGGCGTTTATGCCAAGTCCCAGGCTGTTGCTGACGTCCCTGAGCGCTGCCAGCTCAGCCTGGGAGATCTGGGCAGACACAGTCATCTGCTGCCTGGAGCGACAGTGGTCTCGGAGGGGGAGCCTGGTGATGCTGTCTTGGCTGGGCTGAGTACCCCAGTGCTCTGTCAGCTGCCTGCCCGGGAAGCATGTGGCGCTTAAGGAAGCTTCATACTGCGAGCATAGCTTGGTTGTGAGGCCGGAGGTGACGGATTCCCATGTCCCTACTCAGCCCTGATACCCACCAACTGCAGCTATGGGTAAGCCACCTCTGTTTGCTGCCCTAAGAAAACAGAGCTAAAAGCCTTAGCTTGGAAAGTGTGGTGCCTTGCAAAATATCTTAGTAAACGCAGAAAACTCGATGGTAGCTGGAAATGTAGAAGCTGTCTTATTCCCAGTTTGTCGGGCACCATGAACCCTTGAAAGAAATGCAAAGGGTGTTAGGTTTGGTCAGGGTTCTCTGTTTCTGCAGCAGGCGTCTCTCTGACAATTGCTGCTGTCTTTTTTTACAGCTAGAGCACTTGCTACAGGTCCACTCAATCTCTCTTGCCTCACGTCACTAACGCTGGTGAATGCCCTTCGGATTCCTTCAGTCAGCCTTCCCCCGGCTGTCCAGTCTGCTTCAAGGTGCTCGCCTTATCAAACTGGGTAAGGCGGGGTGGGAAAGGAGCAACAAACCCACGCGGCTGGCTCCCCTTGCTCAGTGGGAGTTTCGTTGTCCACCCTTCTCAGAGAATCTGCCCTAGTTTTGACAGCGTCTTGTCCCTCTTGAGCAAAGCCAAGTGCCACACCTTGGCTTTGGCAGGGCACAGCAAGGACAACAACACAGCTGCACCGCGTGGCTTGGAGTCCTGTCAGAGCAAGCGTAGCGCAGTTATCTCCTAACTAGTTGTGGGGCTCTGCCTTTTTGACTAAAATTAACTTTGCCCGTGTCAGTCCTTTCCACAAGCCACTCTCCTTCTGGTTAGCCAGTGCACATCTGCCACCAGAGCGCCTTTTCCCTTCTGCTGTCCACACCTAACTCCTGTCCAACGTCAGGAGCAGGGATTTGGTTTTGCCCTGTTTGCCATCACCCTTCTGTTCTGCTTTCTGTCGCTTCCCTGCAGCTTCATCGTTGTAATCCCCTCTGTACCCACGTCTCCCGTTCTGTGTTCCCACAGTATCTGCAGTAGACCCAAGTGAATCTGGAGAATGCTGCAGTTCTAGGGACTCCTGTCATGTTTTGTTTCATCTGTCTGGAATTTCCATCTGCTCTGCTGGTCTGTCTCATTTTCAGGTTGACATTCAGAAGAACCCATAAGAGAAAGGAAAAAAGTTAGACTGGACAGTGCAGCAAGTGGCCCCAGAAATGGAGTCTGTACAGAGCAAAGAATAAGTTTATTTTACGTGATATCTGGCCCGTTGCATGAAGGGGGCAGTCTGCTTGTAGCCAAAGCCCGAGCTGTTCTGTAACCACATCTGCTGAAACAGTTTGAGTGTCGGCTGGCGATGCCTGCACTTCGTCAAAGAGCACATTTAAGGAAGTTCAGCTGCGGAAGCGCTACAAACCGTGCGCTTCACAAGTACAGCTCCGAGGAGCAGGTCCCTCCTGGAGAGACAGCGTGTGTGCATGAGTGCCCACGCAGGCACCTCAGCCCGTCGCAGGCTTTCCTCTGGGTGACCTTGGGCTGAGCTCTGGGTGCTTGCTTGGAGAGCTGTTGATTTACAATGCAGATTCATCGGTCCTCGCCTGCCTGCCCCTGCCCCTCCTAAATTTGGCTGGGATATAAGAGGCTGTTCGCTTTCTGATGCCAACAGCAACCATGGCAGAGAGCCCTGCCATGTGAGAGGCAGAGATAGAGGAGAGGAGGCCGAGGAGGAGCAAACTGCAGCTGCTATTGCTTCTGGTAGCTGAGGAGCACATCTGCAGGGCAGAATGTCAATGCTTACGCCTGTCCTGCAGCCCCCAGAGGTGAAGGAGTATCTGTCCAAGGGCGAGCGCTTCATCAAATGGGACGATGTGAGTACCGGGGTTCTGCTTCGCTAGGTGGTACGCACGGTGGTGGGGCAGGTGCCATGTTCTGGTCAGAGTTTGTGGGGAGGCCGGGAGCCTGTGTTCAGCGGGAGGATGGGACTGCGTGTCGTACCCGAGAGCAGCTTTGTCCGGAGAGGGAGAGTGAACTGAGAAGAACAGGAGAGCCGAGGGCCAAAAACAAAGGGCCTGAGTGTTAGGGGTTGGTGATGTGATTTCTGCACCTCTTCTCACTGGGGAGGATGGAAGTCAATGGAGTGTGTGCCACTGGGTCTGTGTGCACAGCTGCTCGGGTGTAGGACCCCAGGGTCCTGCCCGTGCTTGTGAACCAGCCCTCGGGAAGCCGTCGCTGCTGGGACTCGCCTTGGGGCGCGAGGCACACGCTGCGTTCGGACTTGTCTGCAGGGGTAGGATTTACTCCAGAGCTGATGGACACTCTGTGCTTTGCAGATAGAGAGGAAATCGGGCTCCAAGCTGCTTCCTCTTATGGCCGTGTTGCTGGAGCGGATCAGAGGGTGAGCCATGTCCTCTGCCCGCCTTGTGGGGCTGTGAGCTACCCAGTGGGCAGCGGCTGAGCAGCGAGGGGCCTGGGCTTTCACAGTGCCGGAGCCTCAGAGGGTGCTGCAAAAAGCTGCTTCTCTCTCCAACTCAGTGTCCTCTTGTATCTTCAAAACACCTGGTTTGCAGTCTGTTTGCCTTCTGTTCTGAGGGGAAAACAGTGTAGAACAGCAGAAGAGAAGTTAATTTGGATGTAAGAGTCCCCCTCCTCACTTTCTAAGGCAGCAAAAGAGTATTTACCCCACACACCTGAGCAAGGGGACAGCAGCTGCCCATCCTCTTTGTCTGGAGTGAGAATTGCCTGCTGTTGAGCATGAATGCTGATAAAACCGGGGCAGGCCAGGCTATGATTATTCACCGAGATCGGGGAAAGCATTTGATGTGGTGTTGCAAATGAGACGCATTAGAAGGAGCCTCCAGCAGCAATGCAGGAGGGATTAGCGCTCACTTGTGGGCGTGAAGCTGGAACAGAGTTTTAAGTCCCAAGGCAGTGTGTGAGGGGGAGGTAAATCACTTGTGTGCAGCATAAGTAGGGGTGGTCCAGTGGCACTGAGAAAGGAGAAGGCACTGTGATGTACAGAAAGGGTGGGTGCTGAGGGATACAGGTTGGAATATCACTGGGCGGTTATTCCGCTAGCTGTACGTGAACAGTAGGGTGGAAAGCACAGCCCTCCCTTTCTTTCCAATGGGGCTGCTGCCTGCAGAATGCACTTGTGGCTTCTTTGAATTTGAACAGGAGTTCTGTTTCTGAGAGTAACAGTAGCCAAACCTGTGTATAACTGTTGCTGACTCTATGCTCAGTCCTTGGGGACCACTTTCCCAAAAACTTGAAGCTGTGAAGTATTTCACTGGGCATTCCCGGGACAGTTAGGCTCCCTTGAAACCCAAGATGAGTCAAGTTGGGCTTCTAAGACCCACCAAGTATTAATTTGCTGCTGCAACCCTAGGAGTTAGGGAGCTTAAGTCCTGTGTGGATTTTTCCCTAAAGTTTACAGATCTGTAAACATCCCTAAAAGGTTGCTGCTAATAACTAAGTTTAGAGACTTGACCTCCAGCAATAATGAAAGCTTTCTCCACAAATGGGCTGCTCTGGTCCCATTGCTGCATCTCATCATGCTTTCCCACTCCACAGTTAGAGGAGGCCATGAAGGATGACGGCAAGAGCTCCAGGCTGCAGGATTGCTGCTCCTTAGAGGTCATGGGCCTGTGGGTTTTTTTGTCTCAGTGTTTGAATTGACCTGGCCACGCTGTTGGTAACAGTTTTGAGCTCCTTCCACGATATCTGAGGCAAAGGAATGAAGGTAGATCAGACTGGCTCCTTACATCATTCTGTACAGTTTGGGACTGGGCCAGAGCCTTCGTTGCACCCAACAGTTTCTTGAGAAAAGCAAACCCCTATAGTGCCTTCACCTTGCCCAGCGCTTGTAATGTGTTCTCTAGAGGAGAGTGCAGCGGGATCGCTGGCAGGGAGGCCTATTCTGACCTGTCCCACTGGGTTAGTTGTGACATCTGAGGGTAAGGAGCAGCTCTGCTGTGCTTTGTTCAGCATCCAGCAAGCTACGGCTGCCGAGGAGACTAAAGAGGTTAAGCCCTGCTGCACAGAGGATACTTTTATTTCAAGAACCAGCTTGGGAACCCTTTCAAAACCTCAGGCAGGGCACAATGTAGTAGCAGAGCAGATGCATGTGGATTTGGTTCTGTGCTGACTCTTAGCCCTCGTAGGAGAAGCAAAAATGCTTCTCTCTTAAAGATTATGGATTACAGGATTTTACCAGACAGTGCTTGCTTTCTACCCTGGAGTTGAACTCCATGGTGTAGGCAGCAGCCAGTTTGGCTGCCAGACCATCTCCTGTAGAATTCACAGTTTCCTTTGTTGGCAGGAGCCACCCCGTAGGAGAGCCTGCCTGCACCCCACAGCCATCCATGTCCCTGATCAGGAGGCCAGCTGTCAGCAGTCCTTATTGCTGCCTCAACTGGCTTTCAAGAAAGCTGCTTCGCAGAAGATAAGGTTAATCTAGAAGTATGGTGCAATACTCAGTAGCAGTACTAGAGTGCCTGTTCTGCTCTTCGTGGCTTGTGGCCACGTGTTCAGGGAGCTAACAGAGCTCTGGGAACATGGACATGATGCTGGGCAGATCAGCATTGTCCCTAGCACAGCATGAGAAGGACAGTAGGAAGAGAAAGGAGAACATACGATGCCTGTGGCACGGGCAGTTCACTGGAGTGAAGAGTACTGAATCTGGAAATGGAGATCCCTGGAAATATGAATACACTTGGGAGTGAAGTGTGAGTTCAATAACAAACTGAAGAACCCAAGGCCGAGTGATGGATACAACTTCCAAATTCCATGACTGGTTTCATCTCAGTAGCTGGGTACCTCAGCTTCCGGAATTGAATCTGAAGCCTTCCTAGAAGCGGCTGATAAGCCTTATGACCCTATCTTCCGTGGCACCAGAGGGCAAAGGCAGGGAGGAGTCATCTAGGCTGAATGAGCAAATGGGCTGGGACCCAAGCAGAGGCACCAAGCATCCTTCGTCTCGGTCGCGAAAGAGGTCACGCTGCTTCATCTCTTGGCGCAGGCTTGCCTGTGAGATGGAAATGGATGTTGTCTTCAAAATGTCTGTGAAGCTGCCTTGAACTGCAGAAGCAGCGTAACTGTTGGGAGGCACAGCGCACAGCCTCACAGCAGCCGCTGTCTCCTTTGCAGTGCGTGCCTTGGTCTGATCTGGAGGGCCTCCCCGTTTTACGGGGTTCGGGGTCAGCCCCAAGTCATTTTGTGCCTGTCGTGTGGGTGTTTAAATCGCTGCTTCTTTTTAGTCTGTGTAGAGCTAGTTCATGGGTTTAAGAATCGCCGCTTGAAGCAGACTATCTGCTGTGTTAGATGGACCCTCCTTGACCTCTGCCTGACCAGGCCCTTTCTCTGTCAAGAGAGCCCAGAGAACTGGCACGAGCACCTGGGTGGTCGATGCTGCGGATCAGCGCAAACCCGACTTGGCCTAGGCAGCTTCTGGAGCTTGTAGAACAAAGGAGGTGCCTTGGAGAGAAAGCCGTTTAAATGAAACAGCTGATTGCATCTACGGGTGCTTTCTTCTTTAATCCGTTGTATGGAAAGCTCCAAGAGAGCTGTCCTAGCTCAATGCACGGTGTTAGGGGAGACCCAGGCTTCAGCAGAGATCAGCTTCTGTAGCCTCACGCTGTGACTCGGGAGATGTACTAAAATCATGTGGTTCATTTCTATAAATCAGAGGATGATTCACCCGACTGGGTCTGTATGTGAACTGGGAACCTTATGTCCCGTGATGGGCTCTCCAAGTCACGTAAGGTGCTAACCTTCTTCCTCCTGTTTTGTTGTTTTGTTTGGTTGGTTTGTTTTTGTCAGGAAACAGCAAGTGCTTCTCCTGTGATTCTTCGAGTGGATCCAAAGGGCTTTTACTTATACTGGACCTATCAGAATAAGGTAAGTGCTAAGACTTTGCAGCTCGGTCTCCAAACAGCCAGTTCAAGTTTGTGTGAGATTAAAAGTGCTGGAGTTCTGCCCTCAGGAGCAAACCACCACACTCGTTCCACTTAGCAGGAAACCCCCCACAAAGGGCCGGGGAGTCTTGTGCTTCTTCAATGGCAGATTTGCCACAAACATGCCAGAGAGGCGTGTAGCCTTTTTGTGCTTGTCGTGCTGGCGTCTTGTACCTGCCAAGCTCATTAGATGTGCTTCAGAGGGCTTCAGAGAACAGCCCTATTGAGATCCCTGTTACCTGGCCAGAAAGTGGCCAGGTGGGTGCAGTTAAATGTGTGCAGCCTCAGCTAAGGTGTCCCTCAAGTGCAGCCTGTGTTGTAATTAACTGACTTGTTGGGGTTTTCGAAATTTCAATTTAAAAAAAAAAAAAGCGGTGACCATAGTTATGTAGAGACTACACAAGTCTGGCGAGTGAGTTGTGCTTCGCTCAGGCCAGTGGTGTGTGCGTGCTGCTGGAGATAAACCAAGGATGCTGGCTGCTGGGGGAGAGCGAGAGGCAGCAAATTCAGGAAAGTGAACTCAGTTCCCAGCTGATGAGTAGCAACGAGGGGTGGAGAGATCTGGCTGACTGGAGGTGGAAGGCTGGGCTTACTTCTGCTTTCCAGAGCAGAGCTGTGGTTCAGCTCCACTTCCTCCTCGTGACCTACATGCTGAAGAGGCATGGTAGATAAAGAGACAGAGGCAGTAGTCCTGCACGGCGCCCTGGCCAAGAGACCTGCTGTGTTTTGGTGAGCTCTGCCTTATCAGAAGATTGTGCCCCAGTGCCAATGGGGGCAAGGCACTGCCACACAGCTGTATCCTCCAAGAACAGTGTCGTGAGGCTGGGGACTGTCACATCCGTCTAGAAGATGTGTTTTCCTTTCAGGCACCTCCGTTGCTCTCATTCCTCTTTCAAGGTCTGCTCCTGGGGGTAGAATTTTTGCTGTAAGGGTTCCAGCCAGACGGCAGAAGTGGTCGCACCGAAGGAGATGCACAAAATGGGGTGAAGGGAGCTGTTGTCACCCATCAAAAGTGAGATATTTCACTGGGTTAGTGGTATGAGGGATTTCATTACCTGGGAAAGGGACTGGGGTAGGGAACTGTAGCTGACATGAGGAAACCCCAGACTGGAGGGGGTCTCATATTCCTGGAAATTGCCATTCATTATCATGTAAAACAAACTGTTATCAAATTTGAGAGGCGCGGTGGAGCGACAGCCTGTTTTACATGCTTGGGGAAGCACTTGTCTGGCATCTTTCCTATTCTCTGAGGGCACCTGCAGACAGTGTGAGCTAGCAGGGGTGGGGGGCAAATGGTGGCTGTGAGCTGGAGGGAGCTGGTGCCAGCTTGTGAAGGTCCTGTGCAGGCTGGCATGAGCAGAGTGACCAGTGACAAGAGATGGGCCGATACAGAGCATGGTGTGGTATGGTCAACAGTTTGTTGAATTCATTTGGCTTATTAATCTTTGGCTGACTCTTCTTAAGGTCTGCTTGTCACAGACAGCCAGGAAGAAAAACTGCACTGCTTTTGCACTAGGGATCCAGAAAGGAGTGGGATTAGGAGTAAAATTTCCATCCTGCTTGACAATAAAGCAGGGATACAGCCAGGGACACGGTATCCACATTGTTCCTTATTGTGATCTTGGAAAATAATATTCTCTGCTGCAACGAGTATAATTTGTTCTCCAGATCCATGGTAAGCAGGCGAATTAGTAACAGAGGAAGGAAATTCAGGTTGGATATTAAAAGAACAAGCAAAATAAACATGACAACTAGCCAATAGTGAGGACGTGGAGCGGTCTGCCTAGGGAAGGTTGTGGAATGTCCTCCATGGGAATTGCTTCAGAACAGATGAGGTGAAGGTCTGCTGGGAGTGACCTGGGGAGAGGTGGTCCTGCCTCCCTCCCAGCTCAGCTGCTCCGTCTTGAATGCTTGTAGGCCAAGGACAGGCTGACGACACTAGTGGGATGTATTACCGCGTGGACTTGTACCTGGGGTAGGGTTCCCCCGTATAAACCTCTGTGTGTCACAAACTCCCTCTGATGGTAATGCACACCGAGCCTCTGGCCTCGCCCTGGAGAGGACAGTGCTGCAGACCGCTGCCGCCTCCGCACCAGCCTGCCAGCTCGGCACGTCAGCCGCTGGTGTTGCCCTGTCTCCCTGGTTTTTGGTGGGAGAGCTCTTGCCCGGTAAAGGGCGCTGGCTGAGACCTGCTTTGCAGTTTCTGGGGGCTCTGCAATGGATTTCTTTCCTTCCTCCTTTGTCTTTCCTCATCTTTCTTGTGCTTATTTTATTGTAGGAAATGGAAATTTTGGATATAACCAGCATCCGAGATACCCGAGTAGGGCGATTTGCCAAAATCCCCAAGGTGAGTGCGTAGCTTCATTTCTGCCAGTTGTTTGTAAGGGAAAGGCAAGGCTGCCTGGGGCTTTGGCGTGAGCTGAAGCAGCTTACCCTGGCTTCCTGCCACAAGAAGGTGGAGAGGACCTTGGGTCCTTACATCGCAACCACATAAATACGGAAAAGCCACCTTTACTCTTGTCCCCGAACTCCCATGGGGTCCTTGTGCACCCAAAAGCAAGGCACTTCCAGACTGTGGTGAACCCAATTTAATCTTGGCCTGGCCTTGACGTCCACTCAGCTACGCTGGGAAGTCCTGCCGGAGCCTTGTGATGCGGCTGCCCGCAGTCACCAGAGCTGCTCTTGGGCAAAGATGCACAGGCTGGGTCAAGGCAGCTGCAAACCTGTAGTTACAGGAGATTCTAACGCAGCGTGTGGTGGGGTTTCTTTTCCCTTTAAAGGGAAGAAAATGTAGTTTCAGAAAAACTAGTGTTGTGGGTGGTTTTTTTTCCCCAAATAATTTTAAATTGCTTGCAGGGTGGCAGACCAAGGGAAGCACATGATTATGGCTTTGTTCTTGGTTTCAGTTATAATTTAAGCTTCCTGCAGCAAAGTTGTCCTTGTTAGGACTTTGTTTCAGGGTCTGTTTTTTGTTTGTTTTGAACTTCTCCATGTATGGAAAAGGCAGGCAGAAAATTGAAGTAAAGCTAGAATGTGAAAAGGAAACAAAAGAGTGAAGGTGATGGCTCCCCATGGTAACAAGGTGATTCTCAGACTAGCGCAAAAGGGGAAGATTTTGCAATAGATACTGAGAGACTCGAGCAGCCTCTTTGCGCAAGTAGTGCGGCTGTTTTCTTCATACTGCTCTGAAAATGGCTCTTCAGAGCTCCCTGAGACTGATGTTTCTCAGAAGACCCTAATGAGGTGGGTGCTAAAGGCACAGCAGGGTTCAAGAACAGTACCCATCTCGCACAGTTCTTAAAAATCATAATTCCTTCTGAGAAACCGTGTTTCTTCTTGGAAATTCACTAGAATGAAATATATTTGAGTTTCTAACAAGCCTAACAATTTGTCTGCAGGTTTTGTGGGAATAATGTTTGGAAAAAAGCTCTCAGAAGGTTTTTTTTTTTCCCCTTCATTTGAGCGAGTGAACTATTTGGAGCTAGTAGACCTAGGTGCTACACTCCAGGCAGGATGCAGTAAGGAAAAGGCCAACTTAAAGGAGAGGCATGAGATGTTATATTCTAGGGTGTTCAACTTTCAGGAATAACCTGTTTACAAAATGAATTCAGCTTTGATATAGATTATAAATAGATGTTGTGAGTACTGAGGCCATCGGTGGATGTTCTTCTGGTGGCAACAGGCAGCCTGGTGAAAAATGTCCTAGATTCTAGCAGTTAGTTAAGGAAGACTGATTGCAGGCTACCAGGAGAGACGTGCTGGCACAAGCGCAATGTCAGAGTTGTCCCTAGACAGAGGGAATTCTTACTCAAACAGCATCTTTCTGTGATGAGCCCCTCCTCACAAACAAGGGATTGCCCTGGACACAAGACCAGCCCTGGTTTTCAAGAGTAATTCACAGTACAGTTCTGGGATGCCCACATGCCATATCCAGGGAAAAACTAAAATGGCCTTTTAAAGGAGATTTTTAATAAAAGCATGAAGAAGTTTGTGAAAAGAATGAGGAAATTCATGAGCAGTACCAGGGTAGCGAAAAGCAAGAGAGGAGGCTGTGTCTGTAGGTAGCTCTAACTCCTGTCAAGAACACTGCAAGTGGCCTGTGTGATTCCCATTGTAAGCAAAGGCTCTTCAAGAACAGAATGAGAGAGGACATCTCTACGTAGAAAAATTGCTGCTGAAGGATAAGAAAAAGGTCTCTTGAGAGGAGAGAGCCAGCCAGCAGACTCCCGGAAAGATCAGTGCTTGGGCCTGTGACGTACCCTGTGTTCATCTGTGATCTGCAAGAGGTGTACAGAGACGAGGCAACGTTTGCCAACGATAGAGTTGTTTGTAGTGATAAAGTGAGGGCTGATTTGTAGAAAGACCTTGAATTGCTGATTGACTGGATGATCTAATAAGCGATAAAATTTAGTACAGATAAAAATCAGGCAATGCACACAGAAAAAAACCCCGATCCTAATCTTCTGCAGTAACAGGCTCCGAGTTGACTGTTGCTACTCAGAAACAAGATCATGAGGGTATGGTAAAATACCAACGTAGCGTCCAGTAGTATTTGCTCAAAAAAGTGAGCTGTGTGTTAGGAATTAGAAGGAAAGGATTAGGAAATTGTGCCACAGCGTACACCCTGAATGTACCTGTATTTCTGTGCATTTCCAGTGTCCTCGTCTCAAATGAGACAGCTAGAAAAGGTAGAAGAGCAGCAAGATCAGAAGTGTGCAATGGCTGCTGTAAGAAGAGCATCTGAGTAGGCAGGGAGTGTCGTCTGGCAAGAAAAAAATAAAGATGGGGGGGGACATGTAGGAGTATTGTGGAGTGCTGTAACATCAGGAGTTGAATGGAGAAGGTGAGCATGAAGCGGTTGCTCAGCGCTTCTTCCAGTGTGAGAGCTCAGAGCAAGCGGAATTTTCCAGAGGTGAGTTCAGCAGAAGCAGGAGCTGCTGTTTCATGCATCGTGTCCCTGCGCTGTGGGATGCCTTCCCGCACGAGTCATGGAAACGTACACGAGTTTAAAAAGTCAGGACAAGAAGGAAATGCCCTTTGAGAGTTATTAAATGTAAGATAATGCCTCTGGCTTAGAAAGCTGCTGAATCATAAATTGCTGGAAGCTGCAGAAATGTGTCAGGGAAGTGTCACTGCATTTGCCCAGTTCTTATACTTTTCCCCAGGCACCTGGATGGATCTGTGGGCTGACCTGGTGTAGCAGTTGTGTTCTACCCATTGTAATAGGCCAGAGGCAGTATTTTAGTGTCCTGGGAATTGGCTACAGCTCGTTTTTGACAAACAGAGAAACAAAGATCAAGCACCAAATGATTTATTAAGTATTCTTGCCAGGCAGAAGCGATGCACTAGGTGACAACCTCTGCTGTGAAAATCCCAAGCGCTTTTTGAATTCTGTGTTTCAAGAGACCCATTTAAAATGAGTCCCCTCTTTATTTCAGGGAATTTTCTGGTGTTTCTATGACAACATGTCGCAAAATGCACTAGGCTGGCTCCTTACCCCCCTTCCTCTTACGGGGTGATGCGAGGTCTCGTGTGGGCACTGAAATAGCCGTTGAACCAGAAGGGTGGGAGGGATGTGTCGTCCGTCCTGGAGATTTCTTATAGCCGTGGCTGTGCTATCCACGGTGCTCCTGCAGGGCTTGCTTAAAGCCCTCGGTTGTGTGCGGGGTTGGCTCCCCTGAGGACAGAATTTGCTCAAAGGAATGCAGGAAGCAGTGAGAATTCCTTAACCTGAATCACCGCACCCTCCACATGGGGCATCGTTACAAGAAGCATATAAATACGAAAAACTGACGTGAGGAAGCAGACAAAGATCTGTTAGAGGTGAAGGGTGGAAGAATGAAAAAGGGTGCCGCCTCCCCTGTTACAAAATAATGGCTTGGAATGCTTGTGGGCCGTAACTGCTGGAGTTAATGCAGACAGTGACTTGTTTCTTTGGCTAAAAGCGGAGGAAAAGGGGCTGATGGATGATACTTAAGGAGAATGCTATCACAGCTGCTGGAGGAGCTTTGGATGGCACCAATAACAAATCAAGCTGCCTTTTCCCCTCCTCTCCACTTCTTTGCAAGTGACCCTGTGGCAAATCCACGATCACAGCTGCTGGAAGAGCTTTGGATGGTACCAATAACAAATCAAGCCGCCTTTTCCCCTCCTCTCCGCTTCTTTGCAAGTGACCCTGTGGCAAATCCACAGCCTCTCTGAAGCAAAGCTTGTGATCTGGCGTTCCTACTGAATTGTGGCTGAAGAAGTTCACAAGGAGAGCAGTGCTTTGAGGGCATCTGTGCTATTGCTTTCCCCTGCAGGGGCCTGTGCCCTTTCAGGCTGTAGTTTGAGCTGCAGGAGGGTGAAACACACCCTGAGTTTTTCAGACCAAGGCAGATGAAGTGAGTCTCCCTGCAAACAGGTGGTTGGGCTGTGGATGCTGGGAGTTACCTGCTTTCAGTAACACTTTCCCGCTGCTGCTAAGCAAGAACTTTGGGGTTTTTCTTTGTAACCTCTCTGTACACAGCAAGAAGAATGACACCAAAGCACCCACGCAGAAAACTACTTCTGTATACCTGTCATACACCCTCCTTGACCAGCATTGTCCCTGCCAGCTGGGAGGCAGGGACTGGTGAGACCTCCTTCCTGACCCGGCAAGTGCTTAGGGCCTAGACAGTCAGCCCGTGGTGCCCAGCAGAGCTAAGTGTGGCACTGAAAAAGGGACAAGTCACTCAGGGCTGGCAGCAGCCACCTCCAAATGAGAAGGGCCACTGTTCTTTGCCCCAGAAGGAAATGATTCCTGGATCTGAACCTTCCTGAAGGTGGGGGACAGCCATGCTCTCTTTGAGAAGGACTGTCCTCTCTTGCTTCCCCCCTTCTGGCATGTCAGCACATAAGCACGCACACAGCCCTCGAGTCCTCCCATGACCTCGTCTGCAGGTTTCCCCTTCGCTTTATTTTCTTTGAGAGCTACTCAGTGTTCTGCAGTGGGTTTTTCTCCATGGAAATTTTTTTGAGAGATGGGGCAGAATGAACTTTGGTGCCTGTTCAAGAGTAATAAAGATAAGAATTAGCAGGGACTTTGAACATAAATGAGACAAGATAAAAAGCTGTTGAATGTAGTTCACAGCACGCCAAAGCAGATCAAGATGTTATTTACAATGCAATTCTGTGTTTTCCTTTGAGTAACAAGGAACAGTAATGGCTGCTCTGTTTTGTTGATTTTTTTTTTTTTCTTTTTTCTGATGCACCAAAAGCCCAGAACACTGACAGAATGTAATAATTAGGGCTGAAATACATCATGTTTTAGGCCAGGCTGGGCTGTTGGCTTCATCTTGCATTTTGTTTAGACATTTCAGCAGGCATTGGCTTTGAAACAAGCATAATTTTTCATAAAAACAGAAGTCTTATTTTCTGACTGTCGTGATTATAAAACAGTTTCACCCTCCATATGCGTTTTGTTATTGAACCCAGGGGTGCAGAGTCTGAACTGAACACGTACAAGGGAGAAAAGTCACACTAAGGTGTTTCACACGTCCTGTTTGGAGGTGGAGTAGGAGCGAGAGGTGTTTAGGCGTCGCCAGTGCAGGGAGCGCTCCCGTGGCACTCGGAGCCCAGCCGGGGGCTGTGCCCACGCTGCGGGTGCTCAGTCGTTCTGCTGCACCGCGGGGGGACGGCGGCGGCTCGGGGGGTCGCACGCCGCCGCCTGGGCCCAGCAACGTGCGGGAGCACGGGGTGCAGGAAGCAAAGTTGGGTGTTCAGGCCTCCAAATAAGAGCGGCCACGAGAAGCCGTATGGAGACAAACTGATAGGTGTGCGGGGAAGAGGAGAGCAGGTAGAAGCCTGTGGCTTGCTGAGGATTTGTAACTAGCGGAGCAGGGGCTGAGCAAGGAAAGGGTCCCATCTGAACAACGGCCTTTTGCCACCCTGGGCCCTTCTTCTGCCTCTTCCATCTTTCTGTGGCGCGAGCTCTTGGGCCGCAGGGACAGAAGTTACTGGGGATGCGCAGCCTGCCTCTGCCCCGCAGTCTGGTCCCGCTCGATTCCAGCGTGCCGCGGGTTATTTTGTGCCATGTGAATCTGTGTGCTGCTGCATTTTCCGGTTCCTTTAGATAAGGCAGCAATGAGAGCTGAGAGTGCTTCATCTGGGTAAGCTGGGGTGGGTTTTTTTTCTGTCTCGTCTCACTGAGCCGCCTGGTGCAGAGGCAGGCTGGCCCCCGCGGTGGCAGGACAGCCCTCCCCGCTTCGCAGCCGTCCGTCTCGTGGCCGAATCCCGTGAAGGAGCAGTGCTGCTAACGAGGCCGTGAGCATTACCTGCAGAGCCAAAGGCATTTGAATAATCTTGGTGCTCCCTTTCCCTTCTGGCGGCCAAACGAGACCTTTCTTCTCCAAAAGAGAGGATTTGTTGTCGTGTCCCGTCTTCTAATGCCACGAGCGCTGCATCGCGTAGCGCGTTCCGTGAAGGTACAAATGGGCAGCGTGCAGCTGGGGCAGAGCCCGGCTGTCGCTCGCCTGTGTCCCATTTCAGGTAGAGAAGGGACCATCTCTCGCTGCCTCTTGCGTTAGGCCTGGCTCTTTGTTTATATTTGCATGGGAACTTGCTTTTCTCTGGACTATGAACCTGGTTCGTACAGATGAGGATTTTAGGGAAATCAGGAGGGTGGGCGGTGAAATGAAAGCTGAGTCTGTATTTGAGCCACTCTGCTGGGGGGGTGTTTTCTGTTTGCTCGGTGGGGGGTTTTTTAAGTGGATTTGCTAAGCATTTCCCTGGCTCTGATTTGCATGGCTAATACAGTTGTCCTGCTTTTCACATCGCAATTCCTGTTTCTCCTTTGTGGCCACCTGCAACGTGACACTAAGTCATGGCGTGGGGAAGCTGCAGCACGAGGCGCTGAAGGGGTGCGGGTTGTGAAAGAGCCGAGACGTGGCATCAGGTTCAGTGCTCTTGGACGCAGGCTCTGGTCCCCTCGCTCCGTCTCCGTTCAGGGTTACACCAACATCACGGCGTTTGTCCTGGGAGGGAGGTAATCCCCGTGTAAAGCAGGCGGCACAGCGTGAGGGAGCGACTCGCTGCAGGCCAGGCAGGAGGTCAGTCCCTGGGAAAGCATGACCCAGTTCAGATCCCTGGCACGATCATCCTTCCCTCTCCCCGCTGCAGTTCGCTTCTCCTAAGTGAAGCCATCAGCTTCACCGAGGCGTTCGGCGGCGGCGTAAGTTAATGCTGACAGAGGGCACGGCGTATAAAAAGCAGCACAGGCCGAGGCTGACGGCGAACAGCAGCATCTGAGAAGGTGATCAGATACCAGGCCGTTGCCAAACGCAGCGCGAGTCCGGTTTGTCTGGGGGAGCGCGGCGAGATAATGGTAGGAGCTCTGGTGCGGCACCCAGCTCGCTGGGGACGGAGCGAGAACAGAGGCGTCTGCCGGGGAGCCGGGCGACACCAGCTTGCAGAGAAGGAAGGGCTGGGAGGAGCCGATGGGTAACAAATACAGGAAATGAGTTCAGCATCAACCACAAGTTCTCTATTGTCTGAGCTTCATATAATTTACAACGCTAGAGGTAAGGAAGCTGGACAAATGCTGGGGGGGTTGCAAGCTGAAGTTAAATTTGAAGCTGAAATCCTCACGCTTCGCCACTTGTGATGAAAAGTTAAGCTCCGTCAGGAAGTAGCGATGAGCTTGGAGAGGAGGTGTGGGAATGTGGGTGCCGCTCACTTCTGCGAAGGAAAACTGCTCACAAAGCAAGAATGAGCCATTTAGAAATTCCCCAACTATTGGAAAAGAGGCGAATCTTCTGGGTGGCTGACTGCTTTCCCCCTTCGTTCCCTCCGAATGCTCTTGGGCGATACAGGTTTCAGAGTTTCCCCTGCGGAGAGCTGCGTCTATCAAGTGAGAGACAGCAGTCAGGTGATCTTGAGTTACGATCCAGTCCAGCCTGTTTTTCCTAAAGATGCCTGTTTGCTACAGAGATGTCAAAATTGCAAATGCTCCAGAGATTTGGAAAAAACAATAATCCGCAGAGTTCCTTATGAAATATAGATGCAGCTCTGTGCGTGACGTGGTGCAGACACGTAAGAGTGCCTGAAGCTGAGCTGCTTTGGAGTTCCTGCTGTTGCAGGCCAAGTGTAAAGAGAAAATTCAGTGGCAGAAATGGAATTGCTTCCATTTGACTCACAATGGGATGCAAACAGATGGTTGCACAGAGGGGCTCTTCGTTAGTTTGGGCTAAATTGAGGTCCGTGGAAGTCTGGGATCGGGGAGGTCGCTTTCTTCAACTGGCACCGACTCAGACGTTGTCCAGTGAGCAGCAGCTTAACAAGCCACTAAACGTGAGCAGAACTGCAGCGCCGGACTTGTACGTGCTCCGAGTTTAGAGCAAACACAAAGGCAGCCAAACACTTTTAGCCAAAACCTCTCTTGCTGAAGTCAACGCCATACGTGACACGTTACGGTGTTGCTGATGTTTTAACTTGTCACGATGCGGCCACTCAGCCGTGGGTCCGGCTGCAGGTTGGTGCACCCAGCGAGGGCTCGGGCTCCAGCTCCAGGGAACCTTCTGAGCCCGAGCTGCTCTGCCAACAGTCCCGCAGCACGAATTTTGCCCTCAGCTTCTGAAGGAGCAGTTGCTCTGACAGCCTCCCTGTTTGCTTTGATGGGGATTTATCCTGCACTTTAGATAACGAATTGCTGCGCTTTATTCTAGGACACGGGAATTTTATCCTTTCATTATAAATAGCGACTGTCAGTACAACTCCAGGATACCTTGGCTTAGTGACGCCTTACATAGGAATGAAGAAAATGCTAAATAATTTAAAGAGATTCTATAAATACTTTCATATGGTGATGAAATCCAAGTATGACTAACCAGATGAGCCTTGTACTTAACAAAACAAATCTCTGGTGAGCCATCGCTGTAGGATACTGCAATTGCTGTGGAAAAAACCGCTTCTAGCAACGGACTATGAACAGAAAATGCGACTTGGAGGGAGAGAGCCCATCCCTCCAGTGAGCAGGTCTAAAGCTCGTAGGCCTTCCGGGTCCCAAACGACATCTTCCTTGTGGTGGACCGAGGTCACAGCCAAAGGTATCACGCTAAGCTAAAAGACCTTCTTAGCGTGTGTTTTGACAAATGACTGGCTGCCATGACCTGGTTACGCACCTCTGGTGCGAGCAGGCCAAATACTCCTCTGCCTGTCTGCGAGTTCCGGCTGCAGTTTAAGAGCTCTTTGAGAGCAGTCTCCAACTTCTGCTTCTTCAGACCGAAAGAGCATGTTTGTGCAGTGATGTTAGTCACGATGTTTTGTTCCGCGGGGGATCCAGGTAATGCAGGCTCCAGAATAAAGATGAAAAATAAGGAAAGCCAAGGAGAGGAAGATTACATTAAACAATTTTGCAAAGCTTTTTGAAAAGGTTGCTGGGAATTTGGATCAATGTTTGGATTAGGTCCTGGTTTTCTTCAGGTGCAGTTTGCCTTTTTCTCCCTTCATCCCCATCTGTTCTGTTTCTTTTGCAGTGCCAGAAGCTCCGAGAGGTTTTTAACTTGGATTACCCTCACAGCACCTTCCTGCTAAAGACTCTGACTATTGTATCTGGCCCTGACATGGTCGACCTCACTTTCCATAATTTTGTGTCCTACAAGGAGAATGTTGGCAAGGTATCGGGTCCTGAGGGCAAGGAAGCACTGGGAAACACTAAGGATTGGGGCATTAAGTGGCAGCAGGAAAGGAGAGGGGAAGACCAGGAGCTGAACCCTGTCAGTGTTACTGGCAAGGTTATAAACAAGCAGGTTTATGTTCCGGTAAGGTGTGGTACTGCCGTAGTTCTGGAAACTTCCACCCTGCACGGAGAAGGACCAGTAGCAGAAAAATCTAGTATGTTGTTTGGTCCCTCAGGTGCTTTGTGTGAGAAGACTCGGTGGAACCGTTTCAGCTGCTAGTGCACACAGGCCGTGGGAAGGTGATAACCAAGCCCAGGGCGCAGTAGTTGGGGTCTGGAGCAGGGTTGGGACAGGACTTTTAACCACGGCCTGTAGCGACGGGGCAAGGGGCAACGGTTTTAACCTGAGGAAGGGCAGGTTTAGAGTGGACACAAGGAAGAAATTTTTTTACTCTGGCAGTGGTGAGACCCTGGCCCAGGCTGCCCAGAGCAGCCGTGGCTGGCGGGCAGTGCTCAAAACCAGGCTGGACGGGGCTTGGAGCAACCTGCTCTGGTGGGAGGTGTCCCTGCCCAGGGCAGGGGGTTGGACTCGATCTTTAAAGGTCCCTTCCGACCACTCCGTGGTTCCTTGCCCTTTCCGTATTTGTTGCTGTGTACTTCTCGGTGCAGTTCCAAAATGCCCAACTGCCTCTGCCTTGTGTGCCTGTGTGTTCCCAGAGCTGGGCTGAGGATATTATGGCCATCGTTCGGAATCCCCTCACATACAACGCTTCCCGGTACACCTTCCTAGAGAAAATGTAAGTGATTTCTGACAAACGTTGTTCCTGAAACCTTCCTGTACTGCCCTTTGTGTCTGTACGAGAAAGAAAAGCCTTGTTAGCATCCAGGTCCCTTGGCAGCCTCCAGAACAAGTCCTGTGTCAGCTCGGGAGCCCCAGGGCACAGGGAGAGGGTCGGTAGTTGGGCCGTATGTTGCCTGACAGCTGACTGGCACAGAAGGGCTTGAGCCAGTCAGACATGCGCCGGGTATTGGGCAGACTGAAATTCGGAGCCTCAAACGTGTCTCCCACCGCAGTCACAGCCCTCACCCCAACAAAGCGCTGCCCCTTTTTTGCTTTGCTCTGTCGTACTGTTTGGTTGGCAGTGTGGTACCGCTGAGGAATGCTAAATAAATAATAGGAGATCTCATTATCTCACATCTATATCTTATGATTTAGAGGAATCTTTCTGATATCTAAGCTTTTATAATTTTCCTGTTTCTCCTTCCCAAGAAATAGGAACAGATTCTGTCTGAGGGGAAGCTGGCGGTCTGTAGGACCCTGATTTTCAGTTAACTGCTAGATTGTTTTCCCAGTCGTGTATTTTTCCTTTCTCCTTATTTAATAGGACCTCTAAGATTGTACAAGTGCATTTTCATAATCTTGTTTCCTTCATAGCCTGGTGAAGCTGAAGATGCAGCTTAACGCAGAGGGGAAGATTCCAGTCAGGAAGTGAGTATGGCTGTTCGCTTTATCGTGTGTTCCGTCAGGCTGAAGGCAGAGCCGCTGGTAGGAGGGTGGTTGCCCAGTGGCTTCAGCTGCCCGCTCTTTCTGCACCTGAGAGGTGGAGATCATTCCCTCGGGATTCAGGCCATGAAAGGACTCCTGCTGCACCTTAGGTTCCTCCCAAGGGCGGGCCTGGGACATAATTTGGGGCTGGAAGACCTTTTGTGGCCTTCACCTACAGCAAGAAATTGCTTTAAACAGCCATGGATTTCACTTCCTGGGCTGTGGCCAAGAAATAATGAACAAAACCAAGCGACTTCGGTAAAATTCTGATCTCAGGTTGTTTTGCAAACCTGAGTTGACAGGTGGATGATTTTGTGCCGCTCAGCGTCTTCCCTGGTCAAATCATTCCATGGCTGATCCTGTGGCTCCAACATGTTGCTTCAGCTCACGATGGGTGACAAAGGGCTGCGCTGCCACGTTGAATTCCCTTTCGGGTGCATAAATTCTCTTTTGTTTGAACAGCGAGGACCTGCAGAGAGTGCATTTGCGGGTATTTGCTGGGAGGTTTAAAAAAAACCTCTAGGTTTCTGCTGTTTCAGGCTCACAAGAGGCAAGCGCTGATCACCTGCAAGAGGTGGGCTGCCCGCCCCCTGTTACGCTGCAGAACGAGTCTAGATTATGTCTGTGCTGGCTCAGTGGGCTCCTGGATGGTTGATCGTTATTCAACGATAAACACTTTTTGTTGTTTGTTTTCTAAACCACCAACCAGCAGAATTTGGTTCTGCCGGAACCCGGTGTATCCCTCCAAGGCCTTTTAAAAACCTATAGGTCTTTAATGAATAACTCACACCGGGGAAGAGTGCTCTGAATTGATCTTTGAAATGCAAGCCAGGTAGCATTACTGCAGAGAGAAAACGGCTTATTCTAGCTTGTTTCAGAAGGAAAAAATATCTGGTACAGGCTGTACCTCTCTTCAATGCCCTGGTCTGCCTGGCTTGCAGAGTGGTAAAAGTGCTTTACTGTGTAAAGCGTTAGACCATTGAATAGTCCAGGTTAAAAGCCAGATTTATAAAAATATTCAGTGTCTCCAGGTGCAGGTGTATGTAAGGCTGTCAAAACTCCCATGTCTGAATTCTTCTGAAAATTCCACTGAGCATCTGCCTGTCTCCTCAGACATTTAAATCCCTTTTGAATCCTAACAAGGGTGCTGCCATTTTTGCCTGGCAAAGGGCAGCTTGGGAGCCAGCGTGCAGTGCGGTTGCTTAAGCCTGCTGCAGCTCCCACTGAACGCCTTTCCACCTGTCAACACATTTGGCACTTTTTGTTCCCCTTTTTGGCTGTGAGCAGCTGTGATGCCAGGAGCTTCATAGAGCTGACATCTAAATTTATCCACGGAGGAAACCTCATTGCTGCTGACTGGGATATTCTGAAAGTAGGGAGAGTTCAGTTGTCGTTACTATTCCATGGTGCAGGCAAGAGGCTGCTTGAAGCTGGAGGCTTGACCGAGTGAATTCTGCCCCACAGACCAGCGCCCAGCGTTCTAAACCGGAGCTGAGCATCGGTTTCCGCAGCAGCAGGCTTTTGTGCTTCCACCACGTAATATAGCACCTTCTTTGCCTGGTCATGAGTTTGTTCCTCAAATTCACGGAAAGCCTTTGGTTCCAGAAAATCGTGCCTCCTTTCAAAGCAGCAAATGGGCACAATGTTTGTTTGCTTTTTTTTGAATGTTGTCTTGACGACAAAGTCGTTCTTGCTAATGCCAGCTACTGCATGGGGTGGTGCCTCGTGGGGGAGCGTCCTGGGGAATTTGTGGCACAAGGCCCGCTGCCTCCGAGGGGGGCCAGGGCGGAGGGCTCTGAGAGTAAGCTGATGCAGTCCAGTGACAGGGCTCTTCTGAGTCCACAGCAGAAATGCAGAACGTCTGTATTAAGGCAGCAGTCAAAAAATCCACGGTAGGTTTATAAGGATGGGTGCCTTAGTGACTCCCTCGAAGAAACACCCCCTGTCTTCTCTGTTCATGTTTTCAGTCGCCCTGTCAGTCTCCTTTGCGTTTTGAGTGTCTTGCACTCTGGCTGTACCTCCCGGCTTTCTGACTTCACTCCTGCTACATTGTGGTGATTTTTTCTATCCATGTCTGGTCAGTATTTTTCAGATGTTTCCTGCAGACAGGAAGAGGGTGGAAGCAGCATTAAGCGCTTGTCATCTTCCGAAGGGCAAGGTAAGGGTTTTGCTAGGTAGCCAAAGGTCTTGCTAGTGTGAGAATAATCTTTTTGCCTGCCCTGACTGTGAGGCCCTTGGCTATGAAAAAATCATCAGCCCAGATGCTCTTCATCGCTGTGAAACCTTTTCCTTACCACTAGCTGCCATGCCTTGACTGCAGGGATCAATTGTTACTGTTTGTAGTGCACTAACACTTGCGACTCCATCACTTGCACTACGTGACACAAGCAGCAGCAAGTTCCCTTCCGCCTGTTTCGCTGTCACTCGTTGAAGCCACGGATGTGACGGTTCGTCATGGCGCTTCTGCCAGCCCGCAGGGTACAATCCAGGCCTCTGGCAGCTCCTACCGCTGCGTCAAGCTTTAGCTTTATACCGTCACACAAGAGACACCGAGGGACAGTTTAAATAACTGCCTGTTCTGAAACAGGGCATTGTGGTGCTTCTCCTAAACACCTTGCCAGCTCTTCCAGTCGCTTCCTTGCTTTGTCACAAACAAGTGCCGGACTGTGGGTGTAATGGAGAGGTGAAAGCCGTCGTGGGTTTGTTACGCTGACATGTCTTGATTGCGTTCTCAGAACGATGCCATCAATCCAGAGGACTTCCCCGAGACCGTGTATAAAACTTTCCTCATGAATCTGTGTCCACGGCCTGAGATTGATGAGATATTTACCTCACAGTAAGTTTCTCAAGCCACAGCAGAGAACTTGATCTCTTATGCCAAAAAATAGGTAAACAGGAGGGGCGAGGGGATTTTATGCTATGTGGTTTGTTCCCAAGCCTTAGAAGGGCAGGAACCCAGGTCACAAAACAGCGCCAGCGCGCTGTCGCTCACGGCCTGATTAGAAAGGATGAGACCTCACTGTGCTGCAGGGACTCTTCACTGTCACCGTCAGGAGGGTTGATTCCAGGTCAACACTACGTCATGCTGATGTGATATGCTTTTGGCTGGCCCCAGACAAGGCCGTGTACAGCACGAGGACCATAGATCCTCACAAGTAGCCAGTGACTTTTTTTTTTTTTTTCAAATAGCTAAATCTGTGACTTCTTAAATGGATTTGGTTTCATAGGGGCACTTCGATGTGCCCCGAAATTCAAGTCCCTTTAGAATCCGAGTCAGAAGCTCAAAATACAGTTTGTGCTCCCAGTACTCAGCACAACCTCTTCACAGTATGGAATTAGTGAGGAAGAAGAAAGGCCACAGTGGGAAGCATCGTTTACAGGGAGAAATGTAGGTAAAACAGAAATGGCCCAGGCAGGCAGACACCCATTGCTAACCTGAGAAAGGACCCATCTGTCTTTTGTGAAAGGGTTTTCTGGGTAATACACGGGCCTTACCTCTGCTCCTCTGTCATTCTCTAGCCATTTAAAAGCAAAGCCCTACATGACCAAAGAGCACTTGGCAAAGTTTATCAACAAGAAGCAGCGAGACTCTCGCCTCAATGACATCCTTTTCCCGCCAGCCAAACCTGAGCAGGTGCAGAGCCTGATAGAGAAGTACGAGCCCAGCGGGATTAACATCCAGAGAGGTGAGTCTTGTTCAGCCCAAGAGGCTTGCTGTAGAGGTAGTACGAAAAGAGCAGAGGATCTCACACCTTCTGCTACCCTGACTTCCCCAGGGGAGCGATCAGCCCGATTCTCACAGGTCCCTGTGTTTGCAATGCGCTGGCAAGGAGGTGCCAGAACCACTTTGTTTCGGTACCATTAACAGCTTTGTTTTCTGTGTAGGGCAGTTGTCTCCAGAGGGGATGGTCTGGTTTCTCTGTGGCCCCGAGAACAATGTGATAGCACTGGACAAATTGGTGCTGTACCAGGACATGACCCAGCCGCTCTCACACTACTTCATCAACTCGTCCCACAACACGTATTTAACAGGTAGGGGCATTTAACAGGAGTCCGCCTCCGCTCCAGCACGTGTGCAGCACCGCTGGCGGTGGGCGGCGAACCCGGCCGTCAGGCGGGCGGATGGAGCTGCCCTGAAGGTCGGAGGGCTGAGGGCTGTAACGCGCTCTGCGGGGCCTGGCGCTTCAGCGCTGCGTCAAGAAGAAACATCACCCCGTAACCGAAGGCGTCTTGTCAGGCTGCCACGATCGCCTGCTCCAGGGTGGCAGAGAGTGCTGTTGCTCCGGTTTACGCAGCAACTGGCCCCCGTGACTGGCTAATGTCGACCCTTCCTCCTTCTGCTCTCCCCCAGCTGGTCAGTTTTCTGGTATCTCCTCTCCTGAAATGTACCGCCAGACGCTGCTGGCTGGCTGCCGCTGCGTGGAGCTGGACTGCTGGAAGGGCCGGCCCCCGGATGAGGAGCCGATCATCACTCACGGGTTCACCATGACAACTGAGATCCTCTTCAAGGTACGGAAAGGGTTTTCTCCGGACACGCTTTCCCCTGCTTGGTTTTAGGCTGGTGTTTGTTTGAGGAGGCTGGCTGAGGGAACTGTCGAATGGGTGGGCTGAGGGCAAAGATGACGAGTGAATGAGTGTGCAGATGGAATGAAAGATGAACAAATACGCAACAGGCTGAAGTGTTTGGGCATTTTTGGAGTGGGAGGACCAGAACAGGGTTGTTAGCTGGGGGTGATGAATGGATGAGGGGAATGTGTGCAGCCAGCTAGAAGGATGGAGAGGTGGTGGAGTAGATGTGCCGGCATACACAGGGCTGTGGGGCAAGATGGATGTATGGACAGAGAGTTGCACGTGGTGGATTTATGGATAGGTGCACGTCAGAGAACCAAACAAGAGGGCTTTTAGGAAACAAACGGTTAAAATGAGTTTAACTGGTCTACAGCAGGTTTCTGTGGCTCACAGCCTCACATGGTGGTGCTTTGGAGGAACAGGTTTCAATTACTTTCTAATTACATGAGTGTGTGGAATGTGTTCAGTGGAGCAACTGCCCCCTAGCAGCCTGGGCAGCTGGCTTCCCTGAGGATTCAGCTCCCAGGCTTCAGTAGCACAGTCCTTGGAAATACAGGGTATTCAACCACAGAAGTTACAAACAGCTTGCAGGTTAAAAATCAATGCATCACGCTTATTTCTTCTGCACTCGTTTACACAGCAGCTGTCAACAGGCAGAGGCACTTTAGATTCTCTTTAAAGCTATTTATTCCTATTCCCTATCTTCCCCCCAGCTCCCACACTTGACTGTAACTAAAATACTGAGAGGGGGGGAACAGTCCTTAAAATCAGAGGTATTGTCGTATTTCCCAAATCCTGTAGTACCACTGCTGCTTTGGGCACAGCAGTTCGCTCAGGACAGCAGAAATAATGTCAGCTGTAGCTGCTGTAATTGCAGAGTTCTGCTAAAGCATGTGGCTGTACCTCAGGGAAATTATAACCTGTTAACCAGTGTGTGCCCAGGTTTTACATAATACGTAAATCTTTCCCTCCACACCTCTCTCCCTTTTCTACCATTGCCCGTGGCTTTTTAGTAGCTTTTTCTGTAGCTTCTCCTCTGAACCTCGCAGGGTTCTGTGACAGAAAGTCCCAAGTGGTCCACGGAGGAGCAACTGTGGCAATCTCCCTCAGATCATGGCTGAACCAGGAATTCTGGGGGAGCAGGGACTGCAATTGCAAAGGAGCAACTGACACTTCTTTACCATGTCAATTAGCAGCACCAGAAAAGAAAATAGTGGAAAGTTTATGGCAGTTTAACAGGGGCTTAGGGAAAATATGATTATTTTTTCACACATCATTAATGCTGAGAACGTTTCCATGGTATTTGCATTGGAAATGTCAGCACTGCTCGTTACTGAACATTCCAGTTTTCTCTGCTGCTACACAGAAGAGTTTTATAAGCAGGTGAAATGAGAAAATTAGGTTCAGAGGTAAGTATAAATAGGGTTTGGAGCAGTTTAATCTGGTGCCGCATGTACCTTTCTCTACCAGTTCAAAGTGCATGTGGCAGTAGCTTGCCGCCGGCAAGAGGCTTCGCATTCACTTATGTATATACTGAACCACGTAACAACAATAAAAACCCATATTCTTACATCTTCAGCTTCATTTTTATGCAAGCTATTGAGTTTAGCTGCATGTTGTGTCCTCTGGAGCTGGAAATCTGGGTGGGTGTGAAAAAGATGAGACTTCTCACCTGCGTACTGGGAGAAGTTTAGTTCCTTTAAAAAGAAGCTCCGGACAGTGACCAGTTCGGAGCCCATTCAGTGGGAGGTCAGCTGCATCGCTGTTCCTGGCGAGTGCTGATCTTTTCTCTGACCATTGCCTCTCGTTTAGGATGCCATTGAGGCCATTGCCGAAAGCGCTTTTAAAACATCTCTGTACCCTGTCATCCTGTCCTTCGAGAACCACGTGGACTCGTGAGTATCTGCCAACTGGGAGAACTGTGGTCTGTGTTGGCCGGAGCAGAGAGTATCCAGGCAAGGGCTGCACTCACTGTGGAGTGCCTGAGCTGAAATGAAACATTGATCGAGATTTCTGAAGAAAAAGCTGAAAGATGAGCCGTAAGCTGCAGGCTGAGAGTGACCCCAGTTGTGCAGCCTTTTAGCTCGGGATGGCAGAGTGTGGGGAAATGGGAGTCAGCCTGGGAAGGGACTTTGAGATCTGCCTCGTGCTCTCGGTGACGGCAAGAGATGGTTTTCTGGGTAGAGTACATGGATCTCGAGATGGTTGTTCGTGCAAAGCTCTGGATTCGGGCATCTGCTCTCCTGTTCACTCGTGCTTGGTCTCTTTGTTCATTAGGCCCAAGCAGCAGGCGAAGATGGCCGAATACTGCCGAACCATATTTGGAGATATGCTGCTGACAGAGCCGCTGGAAAAATACCCAGTAAGTGGAAGTTGGGGAAGGAGGCTAGTGGAGAGGTCTTTCTGAAAAAAACTTGGTCACTCGTGGTGCTAGGAGGTGCCACAATAGATACCAGGACAGTGAGAGAGAAGACGATGCCTTGGACAAATAAGCCTGGTTCTTAGGGGTGAGCAACATAGTAAGAGGAGGGAAGACCTCTCTGTCGCAGAGGTTTTCTTAAGCACTTGCCCGACTCTGCTCTTATTTAACACTCTGCGACGTGAGTGACTTTGGAAGCGGAGCTCTAAGTAGCCACGTTGTCCGAGGATGGCTCAGTGTACTTTTGTACGCGGCGCCGTTTCTGATCTGTCTGCCCACACTTGCTTTGGAACGAAACAGGAACGAGGGCTCAGCGGCATAAAAAAAACTCCCGATGCTTCTCCATGCCTGCTTCCAAGGTGGAATCTCTCCCTTCCAGGCACGGGTGGGCAGGCCAGCGACGTGCATAACTCTGTGCTCCGAATAGCTGAGTGGAGCTCCTGATGTGCTCGGCCCTAGTCGTCGTCTTCCCTGTAAAGCCGGTGTTTTTGTGAACACAGCGACGTCTTTGGTGATCCCCGCGCGCGATGCTGCTGCAGCCGCCTCGCGAGTGGACACTGATTCCAAATAACGGGCAGTGCCTGTGTTCTGCAGAGCGTGAGGCCGTTCCTTGGGGCGTGTGGAGGAGGGGGACGCAGGGACACCCAGCCCGAGCCTCTGTTTTCAAGCACTGAGATCCAGAAGAGCTGAAAAGAAGCAACGAGCAAATTGGCAGTTACCCGCTGTCCAGACCCGTGTCCTTGTCCAGGCAGTAGGGAGAAACGGGGGGGCGGGGGGTGGAGGAACAGTTCAGGGCATTAGCTAAATTATTAACGGGCCTGCTGCTGGCTGCACGGGGAGTGTCGGTCTAGCAGCACGGTCTGAGTCACACATCCTGGTCTTGAGTCACCTGCTCTGGCATCTTTTTTACGAATCTGCTGCAGGCAGAAGGTTTCAATGTGGCCTGAGTGCTGATCTAGGGCTGAGGCTCTGCGATCATGACAGAAGTAGGTGGAATGTGAAAGCCAGAGGGGTGTGGGTGCTTCAGGACACGTAGATGGTTTCTTAGCTGCGGTGCAGGATCGGTGGCTGGGAACAGCGTGGCCTGTGCAGGCAGAAGAACGTGAGAGGGCTGAGAGGTGCAAAATGCTGCTCTGAAACCAAAGGTGAAGTCTAAGAAAAAAATCTGCATAGATGTAGTGGGATATGCCAGCAGGTGAAGAAATGAAAGTATATAGTGGGTGAGAGATGTGTCCAGGCACCAGTAAATGGCCAGAGGAATGGTACTGGGGCGGACAGGAGAGGGGAGTGTTTGAAATCTGTCTTTGTGATGAAAACTCAGTATGTTTATCTGTTGCAGCTGAAGCCAGGAGTTCCTCTGCCAAGTCCTAAGGATCTCTTAGGGAAAATCTTGATTAAGAACAAGAAGAAGCAATCTGTATCTGGGAAGAGGCAGAACTCTTTGAAGAAAGGGAGGAATGTGGAACCAGAAATTGAGCAGCCAGCCCCTATGGATGCTGAAGATACTGGTATGTCTGAAGGGAAAATGGGACCAGTATAGCTAGATGAGCAAGTCTGGCCCACTGGAGACCTTCCAAGTCACCCAATGCTAGCTTGAGGCAAGCCAGTACTAGTCATTAATTTAGTTTTCTCAAGAAGCAGCATAAGCTTGGAAGAGAAATTAAATCTTCAGGATATTTTCAAACACTGCATTCCGACCAAAAAAGACAATCAGCTTAGGCCCTGCGCATCAGTCAGCTCTTCTGCCTGCTCCAAGGCATGGGGCTGCGTGAGCTGGTGATCCGTTGATACACACTGGCTGTGGGCTGGTGGAAGGGTGGATCATTCTTTACTGCCTGTAGCTCGCTGATAACCACAAATTCACTGTGGCCTAGTTCTTCACCCTGAGGTTCTTGAAGGTTTATGGAACCTTCAGGCCCGCTCTCCTCCCCTCTTGGGCTCAGGGAACTTATGGTAGGACCGTGCATTTTCAGTCCCTGTCATGGTAGGAGCACATGAAGTCCTGTGAAGACAAGGTGAGCGCCACGACTGAGCACCTAGAAATGGACATTTATCCCCATGAATGTGTGTGACCTTGGTGGGGAAAACAGCGTTGTGATTGTCACTCTTGGGGTGTGAGGGAAGCCTGCAGGAGGAATGGTTTGGTCCCTTGAGTGTGCTAGTCCAGAGTGTGCTAGTTCTTGTGTGGATTTGGCTAATAAAATTGTATGATTCTGCCGCTTACTGCCCCTGCGTGACTTGGTTGTGAGGTTTTGCAGAGCGCTCCGTCGCTGGCAGTCTGCAGAGCCTTGTCTCAGCCTGCTGCCCGTAAGCGCTGCTGACGTGGGCTGTGTGCGCTTAGTCTGGGCAGGTGATGTGGCTGAAGAGGAACCAGAGGAAGAGGATGAACATCTTGGAAACCTGGATGAAGAGGAAATTAAAAAGCTGCAGTCAGATGAGGTACTGTCACTGTTGTTTCTGTTCCTTTTCGAGGCCTCCAGTTTTCTCTGGGGCCTCACCATATTGAATAGAGATGAACCCAAAGCGCAAAGGGGAATGAACTGTGCTGTGATGAACCGGGGCTTTCCTTCCCCCGTACAACATGACTTACAACTGAGTAGAAACTGAGTAAGAGAAATGATGTTGCAAGCATAGAGAATATGGCAGAAGAGCTGTTATTTCCGACTCTGCCTTTGATATTCCGCGTGCCTTGGAGATAACTGCCTGCCTTCAGGGTGTTTCGAGAGGCTTAGCCTTGGTCTGATAAAAGTTGTTATTGAAACATAAAGTGCTGCTTCTGAAGGGGGAAGGGGAAGAGATCAGCATTGCCTTGAATCGGAAAAAAAAAAAAAAAAAGACACAAACATTTTCCATTTCTGTCTCCCGAGTATCACTCAGAGAGGAGAGAAACCAACGTCCCCAGTTTGTCCCAGACTCCGTGCTTTGAGAGGCTGAAGAAGTCCTGGGCTTCTTACATACTGCTGCCTCTCCATATGGCTCAGTTTCAGTTTCTTTCCCAGCTACCTGTGCCCCTGCCTACACCGCCCACAGTGCAGCTGCAGGACCAGGAAGCCAGAGAAACTGGTGTGCGCTGGCCAGGGCAGGCACCGGGGTTCTTTGCTTGTGAAGCCCAGGTGTGTGTTGATTCCCCTCTGGGAAAGGTCTCGTCATCTGTCCTGTCTTGGATTTTGTTTTCTGCTCAGGGCACGGCTGGTCTGGAAGTGACAGCGTACGAGGAAATGTCCAGCCTGGTTAATTACATACAGCCCATCAAATTTGACTCCTTTGAAGTCTCTGCCCGTAAGTCAAACTCGGTCCTCTCGGGATCCCAAGTGTTTCCAATGGACCAGGAGAGCAGCGCTTTCAGATGCTGCTGTTCTCCACCTGCCTTTGTGACTTGCTTTCCCCCATTTTCTGTTGCGCTCTCTCTCTCCCACGACACGCGGATGGTCACAAACACTTCCCTTCTGCCCTCCTCCCTGTAGTAAGGAATTGGTAAGAAGGCAGGGAGATGTCAGATACTACCTCCAGTTATACAAGTGAGGATGGAAAGAAACAGCCTAGAGGCCACTGACATCTCTGTGGGCTTGTTTTGCCGCTTCTGAGGGCAGGGTTGAGCCCAGCTTTTCTTAATGTATGTGACGGGCCTTCCTCTTCTGTGGTGGTCGGACAGAGAAACATCCGAGACACTGAAAATGCTGGCCATTTCTTTGTGCACAATAGGGTCCTCTAAACAGTCCCCTCGGTTGGGACTAGCTTTGAGTGAGCTGGTTTGATTGATGAAAGAGAGAAAAAGAAAAAAATAGGTGAGTGAAGAAGGGGAAACTTGACAAAATAAGAAACTTTGTGCAAGACTGAAAATCTGGTTTCACTTGGAACGAAAACTCCAGGCGGGAGCTATTCTCTAAATGTCACTGAAATCCAGGAAGAGATGGGCAAAATAATTGCCATTTAAGCTTTGTGAGCCCACCCTGTCTGTACTCCATGAAGTTCGTGTCCTGTAGTAGACAACCATTGTCTCCCTGGTAAACATAAATCACCTTTCATGGAGTATTATTCTTCAGTCCCTTCCCAAGGCACCAGAGAAAGGTAAATTGCCTTGACAGAAAACCGTCCCTGGTAGAAAGCGGGAGTAAGCAGGCCAAGTGGGGGCTGGGCACGCCTTTCTTCTAAATGCTTTGTCTTCTGTTTCCAGAGAAGAACCGGAGTTACGTCATCTCTTCCTTCACGGAGCTGAAGGCTTACGATCTGCTAAGCAAGTTCCCGGCGCAGTTTGTAGAGTATCCTTTGGGCAGCCTGGGTCCGGTGCAGTTGGCTGGGTGCAGTGCGAGAGCTCATCCGAAGCGGAGGGGTGTCCAGCTGGCTCCTGGTTTCAGGACCTGGTAAACTCTCCATCAGAGATGGAAAGTGTGCAGGTGCTAGAGACGTGGGGTCTTCCAGGGTGGCCTGGGGGCTGTTCGGAGAGATTCTCGACAGGGCGCATCCTGCTGTAGCGAGCGCCAAGGCTGCCAGATGCCCGGCCGTAAGCGGAAGGGGTATGGGAAGGGAGCTGCTTGCTGCCAGGGCCTCCCTCCCTTCTTGTCTGGAAGGCTCTGAGCGTTGGGTAGCAGAGCTTAAACGATCTTTGTAATCCGAATGCGTGAGCCAGCGCCAGGTACCCACGGAGTGCTCCAGACTTGTTTCCCATAGAGCAACCGTAGATACAACAAGCGCCAGATGAGCCGGATTTACCCCAAAGGCACCCGGATGGACTCCTCTAATTACCTGCCCCAGATGTTCTGGAACGTCGGCTGTCAGATGGTGGCACTCAACTTCCAGACCATGGGTGAGTGTCACATTGTCCTCCAGCTTCGGAGCGTGCTCCTGTTCACTATCTCTTCCTTCGCTGTTCCCTGCCGCTGCTGGTCCCCTGACCGCGTCTGCGCTGCGGCCGCCTTCCAAGGGGTGCTGGGCGCTGACTCCGGCTCCCACAGACCAAAAGCACTTCTCTAGGCCCAGCACAAGTGTCCGGGGTGCCAGTCCCACGCGCTCGTGCGTACACAATACGTGGAGTTGCTGTTACCCAGCGTCTGGGCGCAGTCTCTGGCTGTCCTGTAATGGGATGTCAGACGAAATGATGTGCACAAATGCATCAGAAGCTCCCACTGCCACTGAGCTGCTTCCTCTTTTGCAAGGCAGCAGGCAGAGCTCCATCTGGCTACAGGCCTGGCCTGTCTATGCTATTATTTCCAGTATTTTGACCTTGATGGGGAAGAAGGGCCTTTCCTTCCTGCACAACCAGCATGAGAAGGAAAGAAACGCCTCCAGAGAAAGCTGTTCTCTGTCCCTCTCCCTTCCTCAGGGGAGTGTCTTTGTATAGAGTGCAGGAGACTAGTGGGAGGATCAGCAAGAGATAAAAAGAAGCAACTTTAAAAGGGAGTGAGAGGTTGGTTTTGAAGAGGGTGTCGTGTTGAAGACAGGTGGAGAAACCTCAAGAGAAGTGGCAGAGGAGAAGATGGACTGAGAGGAGGCCCAAAATGACAGGGGGAAGGAGTAGAGGGGTTCAGACAACTATTTACTTCACACCTGAAAATAATGGGTACTTCTTAAAGTGGGTTTTAATTTAGTTCTACCCATGACTTATGGTGCAGTCGTAAGCAAACCGCTTACCTTTCCTACAACAGCTGCTGGAATATTTTTCCTTGTAGGGTGCTGAGAGACTTAATGAGTTTTTGAAATGGCTTTGTGAGCCCTTGGCTAGCAGGGGCTGTCACAGTACAGCGTCTTTCAGCTCACTCGTAGCACGCAAGCCACCCGATGAGGTCCCCCCTGAAATTTTTCTCATGGTGTTCCTCTGTATCTCAAGATGTCCCCATGCAGCAGAACATGGCTCTGTTTGAGTTCAACGGCCAGTGTGGCTACCTGCTCAAGCATGAATTCATGCGGCGTCCAGACAAGCAGTTTGACCCCTTCTCTGTGGACCGCCTTGACGTGGTGGTGGCAAGTACCCTGTCCGTCACGGCAAGTACCGACCGTGGCGCTGTCAGCCCCTTCCTGGCACCGCGGGTAGAGCTGGCATCTACGTCCCCGCTGTTCCTTACCCAGTAGAGTTCTTGGTGGCAAATGAACCTGGAGAGTCCTGTGGGAGAGTGTTACCGTGGCAACTCCCAGTCTTTTCACTATGTTAAATTAATCATAATCGCATGAAAATGGAAAATTAGCATCTGCCACACAGAAGCAGCCAAGGCTGTGATGATGGGGAGGGAGGAGGCTGGAGGAAGTCGCTGCAGCAAGAAACATGGGTGGAGGTAAAAGAAAAGCCTGTTGTGGCTTGGAAGCTGCAGCAGAGAAGACGTTCTGGGGTGGGAGAGCGACGGTGGGGTGAAGGTATGGGTGGGTGCTTCGGTTTGATTGTTTCCAGCAGTTGCTAATTGTTCCTGCTTGTCCGTAGATACTCTCTGGGCAGTTCCTCTCGGACCGCAGCGTGAAGACGTATGTGGAAGTGGAGCTGTTTGGGTTGCCGAGGGACACGAAGCGCAAATACAGAACCAAACTGACCTCCACTGCCAATTCTATTAACCCTGTGTGGAAAGAGGAGGCTTTTGTTTTTGAAAAGGTAATAACATTTGATAGTCCTTTAGACAGAGAATCCTTAAAGCTCCTGTTGGCCACAAGCACTGCCTCTTGAGGAGTCAGTGACAACAGAAGGGACCCCTGGAGACCTCAGTCATGGCTTTAGACAACGAGGCGTTACGTGTTGTGCTCTCAGCCACTATCCAAACAACAGCATCCGAACCAGCTCTGCGTCAATATTTCTCAGAACAGGCAGGGGGTAGCTGGGAACACTTCTGGAAATAACAGGCATCAAAAGTCTCCGGTTGTGATGCACTTCAGACCGAACTGACTGATCAGCTTTGAAAACTTCAAGCACCAGGAAGCAGAAAGGAACTGAGCGTCTGTGGTTAAACTGTAAATGAGAAAGAAACTGGAGAAGTAATGGGACCAGTGGGAGGTTTTCAGTTGTGCCAGAACACAGAAAGCTGCCCTGTTTGTCCACGAGAACTCAGTGGTCGCTAATCCAGCTGCAGGGTACGGGGAGGTTAAGTCAGAGGCGACAGTGATGTTTGGCCTTTCTGCAGTAGGTTACACAGGCAAAACAAGTGTTGCACAATTCACCTCTGTCAAGCACACTGTGAAATGGCAGGTATTTTCAGCCTACTTGGGATGTGGTAGATAAATACTATCCTCATTTCAGGCTTTGGTTCTGGCAGAATAATCTTTAGTTCATTTTACGGCAGAAGAAGGAGGGGGAGGAGGGAGGCAAGAGCCCTTATGACAGAGGCACCAGGCTGGCTAAATTGTCCTTCCAAGCTCATTCCCTTCTCATTCACTTCATGGAAGCTGTGGTTCAGAGGGTGCGTTGCCCCGTTTTTTCTTTAGGTAAACTGCCCTCCTGTGATCCGGCGCAGTCTCTGCTCTGCGGAGCCGGTGTTCTGTGGAGTTTCTGTGAATTCAGTTACATCTGTGATAAACTGTGGCCTTAAATTACAAGAAGCAGAAATAGGCAGTGGCTTCCTTGGAGAGCTGGCACTGTTGTGTTGGCAGGAGGAGAGAGTAAAGCTCTACTCAGTGAAGCGAGTACGCTGTTAGGAGTTAGAGGTGGGGACGTTGGTGCCTTACTCTGTTTTTTCCTTAGATCATGATGCCCGAGTTGGCGTCTCTCAAAATTGTGGCCTGGGAGGAAGGAGGGAAGTTCATTGGTCATCGTGTCATTCCCGTTATTGCAGTGCACTCAGGTAAATTTTGTGGAAATTCCTTCCGCTTCTGTGCCCTTGAGACCTGTCCGTTGGAGGCTGTAAAGAAGATACGAACATCTGCGTATTTTGCTAATTAATCTCCATTCCTGTAGGCAGTGGGGCCTTCAGATCCATCCTGTCATAGCCTCGGCTTAATTCCATAATAGGTTCACCGTGCCCTCCTGTAGAGACTCTGTTTTGCTGTGGAGCACAGAGACAAGAAGGGACAGAGATTCTGCCAGCTGACCCCTTCTGCTTTCCGTCCTCAGGCTATCACCACGTTTGTCTCCGCAGCGAGAGTAACATGCCGCTCACCATGCCCTCCCTGTTCGTGTACCTGGAGATAAAGGACTACGTGCCCGACGCCTGGGCAGGTAGTTCGCGTTAGTAACGCGCGTGGGGGGTGCTCTGGCTTTGTCCAGGCTCTGATCCAGAAGCCTTTTTCCAGCCTGGAGGGTGCTTTCCTGCTGCACCCTTCGTTCCTGGTCGGGGTGGGACTTGAGCGAGTGCCAGCGTTCCGTCACGCCCTTGCCTTCAGCAGAAGAGAGCGGGTGCGTGCGCTGTAACCGGGACTGGTTCCCAGTATGGCCGAGGCGCACACCCGACTGCGGGGTGCGGATGTCACTGTCTCTGGCTCGGGGTGGGTCGGTCTTTTTACTACTTTTATTCAGAGGCAGGAGGGGTTTCCTGGAGGGAAGAGTGATCACTACCAGGGGCGGAGGAGAACAGGCTTTTAGGGAGCCCAGGAGCACTGTTCTTCCCTGTTTGAAGAGAGGGAGGTTCCTGCTGGTGCAGAGATACAGTGACCTTCCTTTGAAAAGGGGACGGTCAAGCAGCGAGGGGTGAATGAGGAGAGAAGCCCCACTGGAGGTATCAACAGCCAAAGTTCTTAACAGTCATGAGCAACCAACAGCACCAACCACAGGAGTTCTTGCGAATACTTCTCATGTTTACTCTCCCTTCCCGTGTGTTCATACAAATGAACCTTATTCATGGGAGAAATCCCGTGAACTTGGTGGTTTTAACACCTATTCCTAAAAAAGACCAGTTTTATACAGCGCTGGACTGGAATTAGAGCAGGGGGCTGTGCAAGTTAGGAGAGTCCTAACCTGGCTTTGCATTTTGGGAGCACTACGCTCCTTTTGGCTTCACAGAGCTGCCCTAAACATCAGTTGTGAGACACCCCCTCAGAACAGGGCTGAGGTGAAGACAGTCCCCGCCCTTTGTGCTGGCAGGGAGAAGCTTGTCACAAGTAGAGAATCTAATGCAGCCCTTCTCCACGGTCTCCTGTCCTCGGCCAGAAGGGAAACCAGAAGGCAAGGGCAATCAGAGCACGATGAGTTATTTGATAATCTGAGCAAAGACCTCCCCTTTCTTCCAGATCTGACTATTGCTCTCTCCAACCCCATCAAGTTCTTCAGCCTGCAAGACAAGAGATCGGTGAAGCTGAAAGACGGCTCGGTGGAGGTACGTTTTTCCCAAGTTCTGTCATTATCTCTAAACGTGTTGCATGGATTCAGCCTGAAATAATGGAGCTTTGATTTACTTCTGATCTTTGTTTTAGAGGCTGGACACACAGAGGAACTTCTTACCTGCTGAAACTAACGGGATACCAGGCTCCACTGGGAAATTCAGTCTTCCTCTTTCCAACGGGCCTGCAGGTAAAGCTGTGGCTGTGGGCTGGGCTAGAAGGGGGAGCCTGTACACTCAAAAGGCTGGAAAGAGACAGCGCTGGAGGGCGAAGATCCTTGGTAACGGGGTCAGAACCTCTCAGGCCAAGTCACCACCTTCAATGCTGGTGCTTGTCATTACCGACAAAAGCTGTAGTTACCCCCTGACTCGGGCTGTGCACAGAGCTTTTACGCCACCGCAGAAAAGTAACCTCGGGGATGTACTGAGGATACCAGGAAACGAGCCGAAGGTCCAACGGGCACGAACATTGTCTTTCCCCTCCAAGGCAGGGCTAACGTTTTGGGGTAGTACTGCCGTTCCCTGAGCGATCTGGCGCATACGCTGAGGACTCGGACTGAGGACCTCCGTTTTCCAGGTTCAGCACAGAGGTCCCTGGGAGAGCACTGCAGTAAGCGGGAACCACTGTCCAGGGAAGAAGCGGCCTGTGGCCGAGATGTAGCCTTTCATCTTAATTGTGAAAGTGGAGGTTGGACGTTGATTTTGAGCAAAGACATGATAATTCCCTATATTTCTCAGACAAAGGTTTTAACATCTGGCTTGGTTTTAGCCCATAATACCTCACCTCTTTGTTGTTCTCCTTCTGTAGATTACTGTTGATTTCTGACATTTCAAGTATGTTTAGGTCTCCCCAAAACTGCATCTTCTGAAATTGCACTTTTACCAGTGTCCAGTTGTGTAATACTTGGGAATTTTACTGATTAGTAATTTTATTCATCAGCTGAACACCAAGTCCTTCGTAAGATCCATTACCAGTTCAGAGTGAACAGATCCCACATCGGGCATTCCGCAAGAGTGGAATGGAGCAGCACAGCCCTGTGTTTTGACTGCCAGATTAAATGGGGACCCATTAACATAACAAGGGCAAAAACTCTGACCAGTCAGATGAGGTGAAAAAAAGTTACAGATTTGCTTTAACAGAAATCACACGGTCAGCATTTATTGCTGGGTTTATCGAAGCTCTAGCAGAGAAAGATCTCCCTAACAGCGAGTGTGTTCCTTTCCTACTGGCACCTTCTTGGCCTTATGAGATAGCCAGCAAGCCTTGAAGCTGTAGTACTGGTGAAGGTGCCCGAAGGAGTGTTCCTCAAACCTGCTTCTACTGCAAACTAATTGATAGTTTTGGGTTAGGTAAGAGCATGTCCCCTGCTGTACACTTATTTTACCTCATTCTCTGCTCTTGTGTTTTACATTTATCAGTATTTCTTCCATATTAACTGTATCAATGTCATCAGTGTCCTTTCGAATATGTTGATATCAAAACAATCAGTTTTCTCAAATTTCAGACCAGGACATCCTTCTCGCCTAACCAAAACAAATTTACATGTGCCAGGTCATCACTAGCAAGGTTCAGCTAACACGAAGCAAGTGCCCCTTTTCTCTGGCAAGGCAGAGCATCCCGTTCTCTTTCTGATTACCCAAGCACTTAAGCATCTCAGCAGCTTAATTAATTCCTTGTGTTCACACCAACATCCTTCACGTGGCCCATGTTCTTGACGAGCTCTCCCCTGTCCCTTTTCAACCCGAAGATCCAAGACAGAACATGAACAGGAACCTCTTTGTGATTTCAGGAGCGGCGGCGTTCGCCAAGGACGAGAATGTGACGGAAGTGACGCAGGTTGCAGGTAACTCCTCTCGTGCTGTTCGCGTGGCCTGAGGCCCTGTCAGTCGTCTTAGGTTCCCTCTCCACCCAGTTTCTGACTGGGATGGAGATGAAGCCTGTTCTGCACATTAAAAAAGCCCTGACCCAACCCTACAGACAAACCACACGAATCTTTGGGCTCGAGGCCTGGCTTCCCTGCCTGTGGCACCGTTTGCCCGTTTTGGCAGCTGCCGCGGAGCGTGGTGGAGCTCGCAGGCTGGGACTGAGCTCACGGCAGGTCTCGAGGAGAAGAGAGGCTTGGAGCTGCCACGGGCTGTGCCTTCCACGAGCTGGGCCGCTGTCACCTGCACGGGTGGCTCGGGAGAGCTTTGGGCTGAGGCCCCTGGCTGCAGCGGGTCAGCTGTGTGGCCAGGGAGGCGGCTGGAGCTGTCACACGGGGTCTGCTCTGGCCGGAGGGATGGTTCCTCTCCCCTCGCCAAAGCAGAGGTGACGCGGCCGCAGGGAGCCTTCGGCCCACGGGCACCCTCTGCGGTAACGTGTCACTCACCTGCTTTTCTGTGCCCTCACGCAGCGCGATACAAACCAGTACAAACCACTAGGAACCAGTCTGCCTAATTATGTCACAAAACCGAACTGAAGGCACAAGAGTAAACCTGTTGCCCTCGAGAGATGTTGCTGAGTAACTGTTATGTCCATGAAATTCTGGTTTTAAAAGTTATTCCTAAAGAAAAGCATTCCCCAGGACGGAGCTGTGGTTGCTTTAAATATGGGCTCTGGTTTGAGAGTCTGGACTTGCTGACTGGGAGACGCTTCGGTTTCCTCAGAGCGAGCCCTTTAGGAGTTGGCCCCGCACAGCACAGCATTGTGTGGCGGGCACACCCACAGGTTCTGTGAATTTTTACACATTCCAAGACAAAAAAAAAAAGTTACTTCCCCTAAGAAGGTACCTCCCTGTGGCCTTTCTGCCACAGATAACCACATCTGCCTGACTTGCTGCTGCCAGATAACAAGTTCTCCAGCAGTTCACAGGCATCCTTCCCCTCTCACTTTCATCTGCTTTAAAAGCTCCTCCATTTATTCCTCACAGCTGAAGAAATGCCAGGCGTTAAAACCAGAACAGTTGAAAGCTCTTGTCATTGTAACTCAGTTTTGCCAAAAGATCAGTAATGAAATAACAAAGCTCTTCCCTTATAATGACGGCTGCCAACTAGCTTAACAGTCGTGCTGTCCTGGGGGACCCAGAATTGTGGAAAAGGGCGCAAGGCACAAGACGGACAGACTGGCATGTCACCACTGGTGTGTGTTCCTCTGGCCAGAATACCAAAAGGCAGCAATTCTGGCCATGCCCATGCCACGCGTCCCCCAGGCGGTGAACTGAGCCGCGTGTAACGCTGAAAAGAGGGAGGAAAAGTGAGTGAAGGCAGTGCTGGACAAACCTGTCGGACCCCAGAAGGCATTGCAGCCCTGAGAAATGCTGTGGGAGAGAAAAGAGCCTTTCTTTCTTTCTTTCCGTCGTGTTTAGAGCCTCAGACAGCCAGCCTGGCGGAACTGCAGCAGATGAAGCTCTTCCTGAAGCTGCTGAAGAAGCAGGACAAGGAACTGAGGGAGCTGGAGCGGAAAGGGAGTAAACGGAGGGAGGAGCTGCTGCAGAAATACTCTGTACTCTTTTGGGAGTCTGTCTGCTACGTAGGCAAGAAAAGGATGATACACGCTAGGAAAACCCAGAAGAAGAGGTAAATCCAGCACAGGGTCTCGGGCAGGGCCTGGCCTGTGGGTCACCTCCCCAAACCAAAGCAGAGGGATCCCCGAGAGAGAAACATGGGCTCCCCTTCTCTGAAGGAAGCGTGGAGTGGTGCGGGCATCCACAGCTCCCTGGGTTTGCGGTGTCGGACCTTCCACTGAGGGGTGGGCGGGAAGGAGAGGATTGTCTCGGCATCTCTAGTTGCAGCAGAGCTGCTGCATCTGTTCTGCAGGAGTCTGACAGCAGGTGACGTCGGTACGTGTGCAGATCCTGTGGAAGTGGCAGAAAGCGTTGATAGCCGCGTTGTGGAACTGAGAGAGAGGCTGGAGACGGACCTCATCCACCTGGGGGAGGAACACCACGATGGGATTCGAAGAAAGAAAGAGCAGCACGCCACGGAGGTAAGGACCGCAAGTGTCGGCAGAAAACGTAACCTAGGAGAGCCCCTGCAGGGACAGCCTGAAAACCCAAGTTCTGGACTGAACTGTGAGCTTGGAAATGCGGCCACGAGGCAGAAAACGCCCCTCAGAGCAGTTGTCAGGTCCATGCAACGTAATCGAGCATGCAGGCAGTGATGCTGGTTTGTTAGAAGCTATAAAACCCCAGCAGGAGCATTGTCGTAGGCCTGCACTTTGGAAAAAAAAAACCTGCCCTGGAGCACATGAGGCTCCATCTGCTTTAACTCCTTCCGAGAGCCTTGCTGGGGGTTAACGTGGCGTTTGTGGCTTCGCGCGCTGCCAGGTGCCGGCTCTGCCGAGGCCGCACCGCGCCTCTCCCGGCGTGAAGCTCTGCCGGCTGAGCCAGGGTGACCCACAGGGATGCTGGAGCCCCGCAGCGTCACCAGTGGCGGCCGTC